GGTTTAATTTTATATCTATTTAATTATCTAATTTTTAAAATTATTTATACATTTTTATAAATTTTGTATTTAATAGATTTATTTAAAATAAATTAAGGATTTGTTAATTTAAATAAATAATTGGTGGACTAAATTTGTTAATTTAAGATTTGAGAGGGTTCATTCGCCTATTTAATCCTTCGTTTCTGCTATCCCTTTTCTCACAATCTCCCGTTCTCTTCTATTTAGTTTTTTCTTCCTTTGCCACCGTCGCCATGTCTCTCCTCTCCGATCTCATCAATCTTAACCTCACGGACACCACCGAGAAGATCATTGCCGAATACGTATGGTGAGTATTCTATCTCTCAATCGCCCTATCTCTTCTCTTATTGTGATTATTGCCGGTTTTTTTTATTTTTGTTTTTCTTCTTGCAGGATCGGAGGATCGGGACTCGATTTGAGAAGCAAAGCTAGGGTACGCACTGGTTCTTGTTGCATTTTCCGACTTTGGATCAGATTCTGTTTTTGATGATGATTATCGTGTTGGCCTCTGTTTTCTGTTTTCTTTCTTTAATCGATTTTTCGTTTCAGAGTTCGGAGTCGATCGTGTTTTTTTTTTTTTGAAGTTTTTCTGGACAGATTTTTCTTTTTGACGTTTCAACTCGTTTGGAAAATTGTTGGTGGAGATCATTTTCTTCAGATTTCGAATGTTTCTCTCTCCGATCGTGCTTGGTTTCTGCCTGTTTCAAATCGCTTGAAAATTATAGGTGCAGATTTCAAATGTTTCTCTTATTATTATCTATCTTCGAATTTTTCCTTGAATCGATCATATTTTGAGAGTTCTTTTCGAGAGATTGTTCTTGCTGTATCAATTCGTTTGAGAAATTACATCACATCAATTCTTCAGTTTTCGAACGTTTCTCTATTTTTTCCTTGGAATTTGAAACCAGCTGTACATTATTTGGACAGTATTCTGGTGACATTTTCTTTAGCATTTATTCCCGAGGGATTTCCAGTAAATTACGGATATTTTCTTCACATTTCGACGTTTGATTTGAGTTCGAAATAGGTCGCTCTTTTTTAAAGCTTTTCCGTACAAATTTTGATGCACAACAGACTCGTTCGAAAATGTCCGTACATATCGTTTCTTCGGTTTCTGAATGGTTTTTTAAAATTTATTTTAAAATTACTCTCAGACTCTTCCGGGACCCGTGACCGATCCGGCGAAACTCCCCAAGTGGAACTACGACGGTTCCAGTACGAATCAAGCCACCGGAGACAACAGTGAAGTCATCTTACAGTATGTACAACGCCCCCACCTCATTATCATTTACACGTGACCATCATGCAATTGTTCACTCCGTCAGGATCGTGATCAACGGTCCTGATCGAGAGTATCCAAAATTATATTGGAATATTCCACTCGATTAGCGTAGTATTTTTTTCTTCTACATTTAACGGCGTCAGTTTTGTTTGACTGTTAACAGTCCTCAGGCGGTTTTCAAGGATCCTTTCAGAAGAGGGAACAACATCTTGGTATAGTGATCGACCGCTTTTTCCCGCTCATTTTTGGTAAATTGTTATACTTTTTGGTATTTTAAATGCGGGTTGAGGGGTAATTTCGTCTTTTCGTTATTAGGTGATGTGTGATGCCTATACGTCAGCTGGCGAGCCGATTCCCGCCAACACGAGATTCGACGCCGCCAAGATTTTTAGCGAGCCGGACGTTGTTGCCGAGGAACCTTGGTAATGTGACATCTTAGTATTAGTATTATTAATGCTAAGTAAAATCTTCCGTACCTCGTTTACTTATATAAAAAATGAGATTAAAAATAATTAAATTTTTCTGATCACTCAATTCTCTTAAATACATGTTGCACACTCTTTTTATATATATATGTTCTATTTTGGAATGAGACCCATATTTAATATAAATATCACAAACTAGTAAAGGTATTTTTCAAGTGAACATATTGTCCACTGGTAGCAAAAACCCCATCACGATTTTCAAAGACTTTGAAGTAGAAGCTAAAATAATTTTTTATTGTCCCGTGACTACTTTTCTTAATACCTCTCCATTCCCCGTGGGGTTGGAACTTGGAAAATGTCTTTTCTCGTGAGTGGTGTTGGTTGTTCATATATAGAATTGCCATTTGTCAAGAGGATGTGATAAATGTTGTATTGGACTATTCATTAAAGTATGTCCACCGTCTGCTTTTGGCTGGAACTTTTCCCTGCCACTATAGAATTCGATGGTTTAATGATTGTAGTAGGTAGCAGTCCACAATTTTGGGTACAAAAAAACAATGGTCCATATGTCAGCAAAAGCTATATCTTAGGCGCTTCACGGTGCGTGCTTTCGCACCCATCAACTTAATTGATCACATTTCAGGACGGAGAAATTTACTATGCTATCATAGATAGGTCCTATTAAGTGATTTCTACATCAAACTTCATTGGTACTTTTTGAAAGAAAAAAAAAACAATTATCATTTACGTAGGGTGTAGTAATACTCTTGTACTTGATATTTTCCAATTGATCTGAGGTCTCTTGTCCGTTCCCTTTCTCATGATAATTTCCTTTTGCTTTGTCTTATCCCAAGTAGTATTTTTCACTGAATATGATATGGGTCTAATTTATGATTTTCATCAGTTCTGTAAAATTCATGTCTTGCATGTATTTTGATGGTGACAACAGGTTCGGAATTGAGCAGGAATACACTCTCCTCCAAAAGGATACACGCTGGCCCCTTGGTTGGCCTGTCGGTGGATTCCCAGGCCCACAGGTATCCTATATGCTGTTTGTTCATCGTCATCATTAGAAAATAGGCAGGGTCTATATGATGATTGAAGTATTTGATTCTCAACTTTCTAAGGTAAGTATTTATCTAATTAAGCGGTGGTATGCAGGGTCCTTACTACTGTGGTACTGGAGCAGACAAGGCCTTCGGTCGAGACATCGTGGATGCTCACTATAAGGCCTGCCTTTATGCCGGAATCAACATTAGTGGAATCAATGGAGAAGTCATGCCCGGACAGGTGCATTTCCAACATAAATCATACATCCAAACACATAATTCCCCAGTCTTTTTTCTTTAAAATGATTCCCATGTTTTTTTGTTTGTTCTTTATTGTGTGGGCAGTGGGAATTCCAAGTCGGTCCTACCGTTGGTATTGCTTCTGGTGATCAGATATGGATCTCCCGATACATCCTCGAGGTATGATCTGACTTGAATATTAAAATACCAACTTGTTTTGTGACATCTCTTTTCTAATAACAATGGTTATGTTGTAACAGAGGATCACAGAAATGGCAGGAGTCGTTCTCACCTTCGACCCAAAGCCAGTTCAGGTTTGTGTTCAATTCAATTAGTAAACAACAACTTTTGTGTGCTTACTTACACATAGCATCATTTGGTTTGATACATTGTTTGATTATTATCAACCAGGGCGACTGGAATGGCGCTGGTGCTCACGCCAACTACAGGTTTTGTTTTCTTCTGTCATCTTGAACTTGCCCGTTGATCTGTTTGTAATAATTTGAGTTTGAGTAGGCACAAAGTGGACAATATCATATTATTGTGGAGAGTACTTATATCAAGCAAGTATATCATCTAAAAAAACCCTTTTTGTTTTGGTGGCCTCAGCACCAAATCAATGAGAGACGACGGTGGTATTGAAGTGATCAAGAAGGCCATCGAAAAGCTGAGTTTGCGCCATGAAGAGCACATTGCTGCCTATGGAGAAGGCAACGAGAGGAGGTTGACAGGCCGCCACGAGACTGCTGATATCAAGAACTTCTCTTGGGTATTATGTTGTCCAGCCCCTTTTTTACTCATAGCACCCTGTTGTGTTGTATTCATAAGCTCATAATAATGAAAAATCCCAGGGAGTTGCAAACAGAGGAGCCTCAGTCCGTGTTGGGCGAGACACTGAAAAGGCCGGCAAAGGCAAGTCTTATTCTGAAACACCCCAATTTCCTTTCTCAAGCGATCAAAGCTCTTATGGTTTCTTTTCAACAAATGTTATGTATAGGGTACTTCGAGGATCGAAGGCCAGCTTCAAACATGGACCCTTACGTGGTGACTTCCATGATCGCCGAAACAACCATTCTGTGGAAGCCCTAAACAGACTGAATCGGACGACGGCGTTGTGGCTGCAGTTTGTCTCTCCGTTTGATGCCTTTAATTGCAGTTGATTGGTGGCTAAAACTAAATATCTATTTGTTTTATGTGCCATTGTGATTGTGTCCGGTTATTGCTTTTGAACTAGCAACTCGAATATACCCTATTATCAAATAATTTATTTTCTTTAAGGCTTCACTTTTTACATAATTATTAAGATATATAATCATAGAAGTAAGTAATGATTTCGATTAATAAGTTTGAGAAATAAAAACTTAGGAATAATATACAATCAGTTATTCAATAATTATTGGGATTTTTTTTCAACGAACTATAGAACTTATTTGCTTTAAAAGCTAAAAGAATTGTTTTTGTTTTTGTTTTTTTTTTTAATTTTATAAAATAACACTCTAATTATAATAAAATGAGATTTGAAAAAAGAGAGGAAACTTATATCAAAAGAAATTTTAATCCTTAGTCGGGTAATGTATGTTATAACTAATAAATATTTACTTTTAATTGAGAGATGTATGCTAAAAGTTTAATAACTAATGAATGTTTATATATGTGGGTTTATACATACATATATATATATTCTAAATAATTAATTAACTAAAAGAATGTTTCAACACAGTTTCTTATTTTTAAAAAATATTTTATTAAAATATATATAATAAAATAAATAAAATTTTGTAGGTGGGAGTAATATTTATAAACTTAAATCTAAAAAAAATTATTATTATTATTTTTTTTATAACTTCCCAACCAATTTATTTTTCCCGTATATATGAGACGACGTGTCGTATCGGATACGATCGACAGCGCATTACTCGGCCCACGACCCATTTCTCGTGTGGGTATTATTTTTCATTTCGCATTCTTTGAGTTGGGTCTCCAAAACTGTATGTCAGGAGTCTCTGCCACTGCACCATAGATGAAAGAATGAATTCAGCTGCTGAAGCTAGAAGACGAGTGTGCGATAGATTTGGTGATGGCCGGTTTTCTAAGAACAATGAGAAACGGAAGCTGTTTGGGGTGGTCGTTGCCGCACTTTTGGCGACGTTGGTTGTTGAATCTAATGCATCGGAGACAATTGGAGAATGGCATATTCTTACCAGGCAGAATTTTTCTTCTCAGATCAGACTTCATCCGCATATTCTTCTTCTTGTCACACTTCCCTGTGAGTTTTCTGTCATTCTGTGATTTTGTTTTTATGGCAGATGTGATCAACACCAGGTACTTTTTGAGCTAATTGTGTACCGACTATATTGTTTTCTTTTGTTTTAATTTGAAACCATCTCTACAGATGTAGTCTGAATTTAAACAATATGCAATGTTTAGCTGATTAGGTAGTATGGTGATTTTTATTGCATTTGGATTGATTTTTTTTTTTTTTCGCGTTTTTTACTACCGCGACGGAGAGGCGGGTTAAAATCTGCGCGTTCAACTAGAGCGATTGGTTGAAGTTCGGAGGCTTCATTGCATGATGTTAATGAATTTAAGTGGCAAGAAGAGAAGTCTTGGAGTAGTTTGGTATTCGATTTACACATCAACAGTGTAAATTTTGATTTATGGAAGCGAAGCACCACTGTTTTTTGAATCATTGAAAAACCTTGCTCCAAACTTTCCAAGAGGTTGGAAAAAGATGTTATTGACCTTCATGAGCATTACACAAAACATAGGCTGTGGACTTTTCTTTGGACTTGATCTAGGGTGCGAGTTTCTCAGTGAGCAAGTTCAGACAAAAACTGGCTAGGTTTCTTGGGATGGATTTTGTATTGTTTAGCAGATAATTAAACGTTCTCTTATGCGAAAAGGATCATGAGCTATTAACAATTTTGATTATATTATCAGTCTTTTCAAGTGAGGAGAACTATTTAAGAAGAAAGATGCGTTATGCCCTTTTCATAACCTCATCCATAAAGTTCCTATTAAAGCTAGTCGTCAGTCCTTGTTCTTGATATGCTGGTTTTAGGCCTGGGGTGTATATGCTTGGAAATTGGTTACAGAAAAATAAAATTATTTCTCTGAGAATTCCCTTGTAAATGATCCTGCTTCCACCTCCAACTTCGAGGGAATATACTGAGCTAAACAGTATTTTACAATTAGCTATCTGGATTGGGCAAATGTTTTACAGAGAAATGGTAAAGGGAGATGCTGGCCAAAACGGATTGGGCCACAGTTCTCCTTTTGGAATAGGAATGTTCTTCCGTCTAGCCAACTTAGCTTGGATTTTTTCCATAACAGGAACCCAATAGAAGCTTTTTCTTGGGAAAAGCCCAGGGCACATCCAAATAGTTGAAGGGTAAACTGTTCAGCTATCCAACTTTCTTGCAAAATATTCTGCTGAATGATAGCCGTTCTCGAGAGATTTAAAGATAAATCTGAGAATTCAACGAGGATATGAAGAACTTTGCCACCAATATCTCAAAGAAAACTCATCATTTGGATAAAAGATAATTGTGACATGCCCATATTGCGAATGAGAAACCTCTGCCCTCTCTGTCTAAGGCCACCTGAAGCAAAAAATATTCCTCTCTATCTCCTATGAAGGAAAATTGAAAAATTTTAATTTCCTAAATCTTAGGGATGTAGTTTAAGTGTTCCAAATATATATTTTTTGTTTTATTTGTTGATGCATGATCAATTATTCTGTTGGCAGGGTCTGGTGAATCACGAGCCCTAATGAAAGATATAGCCCATCTTATTGAAAATAGAAAAGAAAGGTATAGTTCATTAAAGCTGATGTTCATGTACAGAAACTCAGAGAAGATGTTAGTAAATGCAATTGGTGCTACGTCAGAGGAGACAAATGTTATTTTCTACCATCATTCTGTATCTTACAAGTATCAAGGGAGACTAACAGCCCAAAATATAGTATTCTCAATTTATCCATACATGTCACTATTGCCTGAAGAACTTCCCCTTACGCACTTGAATACCCCTGAGGAATTGAAGTCATTCCTTGATTCAACTGATAAGGCCTTGCTTCTCACGGAATTTTGTGGATGGACCACACAATTGCTGTCCAAGGGGATAAAGGGCAATGTTACAGGTCTGTGATTTTACTTCTGTACCTCTTGTCCCCCTCAAATTCCCTATTTCATTTCCAAATGTACCAAGTATGATTTGTTTTATTATTTTCTGTTTCAAATGTGAATTGGTATGCAAAATTTGTATTTAAAAAAAAAAAGGTTCCTTTATATTTGCTTTGGTTGTATTCGGTAGCTACTCCTGGTGTTTCATCATTATGTTTTCTGTAATTTCTAGAATGAACATCTGCTCCACATTTTGTTGCAGATGATCTCGTTGGAACAACTAATGAACATACTGATGGAATACAAACATTGAGAGGGAAGAATAACGGCAAGGTGGCTAGCTATTTTTAATTACCATTATGCGATTGGTTTTAGATGATCACAAGAAAAAAAAATTATTCCAATAAATTTCTCACCTCTTTCTTCTCCCCTGCCTATATCCTCTACTTCCCAAAAAAACAGCATCGTAACAAAAATACAGACATGTGTGGTATTGAAAAAGTATATGGAGTTCCATGGTTTGGGGAGTTTAGTTCAGGAAACGATACTTCTGAGGCGAAGTGTACAAATGAATCTTTTCCATCATCTTGCAATCATGAAGAGTTCATGCGGTACAACTCTTTCTTCACAAATTTATTGGCTGTTGTCAGAGAATTCTTCCTGCCGAGAGAGAAGCATGGTTTTGGTCTAATCTCCAATAGATCAATGCTTTCGTCTCTTGGCATTGACAACTCGGATTCGTGGTTTGCAACACTTCATTTTGCTGGATGTCCCAGATGTTCAAAAACTCTTAGTGCAGATGATGACCTTAAGGAAAATTTACAGATGAATAATTTCATTGTTTCAGAGGTAACTTAATTTTCCTTCAAACAAGTTTGCTTTATGGTTGATTGGTTTCTCTATGATGTATATGTCAATAGACCACTGTGACACTTCTTTCATTTTAGATGATCATGTATATGTTGTAGAGATTACACCACTAAGCTCCTTGTTATTTTTTATTTTTGTCTCTTGTTGCTCTTAATGCCTCAACAAATTTTATGATCTTTTTGATGCTCTTAATGCCCTTCTAATGGTTCAGGAAGTGCTTGAAAATACACTGTAGCTGCTTTTTAAAAGTAATTATTTTACGTTTGTTGTACACTACCAATATTTTTTCTTTGTGATTGTCTTAGAAAATTAATAAAAACCCTACACATTAAACAATATTCAAAGAAAGGGGCGAAAGAGAGAAAGAGCGAGAAAAGAGACAGAGAGAAGACCTTAAACATAGCCACCATTTGGAGGTGACTGATTCTTATTTGCGTGAGGATTCAACAATTGAGCTTATGTTTAGATAATGGAAAAAGGCTTAAGGTTTCTGCCAGATTTAAAAGGAAAATGGAATTTAAATTATGAAACAACAAATAATAGGACTCTTTTTTTCTTCTTTTTTTTTATTTTTATAATTATTATTACATAATTTGTTGGGGTTTGTGTTATCATGTAGCTTGAAGTAGATGGGAGCGGTCAGCAGCCTTTTTTGCCAGTCAATAAGCCATCAATAATTCTATTCGTGGATAGATCATCCAACTCATCAGAATCTAGAAGAGACAGTAAGGCGGCTCTTGGGGATTTCAGAGAATTAGCACAACAGTACTGCACATCTTATCCCGTCACTGAACAAGGTGGTAACAAGCTCCTGAAACCTTTGCTTCAAAACAATCCAATTATGAGAAGTGCCTTGGAACCTCCTAGATTAAAGTTGTCTCCAGCATCTCGGTCAATTAAATTGGAGGATAAGACATCTTCTGTCATAATTGTGAATGAGGGTAAACTTGTCTCTTTGGATAAATTAGCTTCAGAACTACAAGGAAATTCATTGCAAGAGATCCTATCACTCCTTCAGAAAAAACAGGCTACGTTAAGCTCCCTTGCAAGGAATTTAGGTTTCCAGCTCTTATCTGATGATATTGACCTTAAATTAGCAAATCCATTGGCAGATGTGGCAGAAGTTCAGCCTTTAGAAGTGTCACCAGAGACATCCCCGAAAGGCACTACTACACTTAGTGTTCAACTGGATGAAGATCAGTCAATTCATGGCAGGTGTATGTCTGCCAAAGAGCGTGGGGAAGCTTCAGATGTTTGTACCATGGAATCTTCTACTCAGCAAGATAATGAGAAGAGTACTAGCATTCATACACATGAGCATCATGATTCTATACAGTCTGATGAATCAGCTTCCGATCAGAAATTGGATGTTCCTCGAATCATTAAAGTTGAAGAAAAATCTTCTTTAACAATGGAAATATCGAGGGATGAGAACCTCTGCATCCAAGGTTTTGAAGGTTCATTTTTCTTCTCTGATGGTAACCACCGATTACTTAAAGCTTTGACAGATCAATCAAAGTTCCCTGCTTTGGTAATAGTTGATCCCCTTCTGGAGCAGCATCATGTCTTTCCATCAGAGAAAATACCAAGCTATTCTTCACAGGCTGATTTCTTAAGCAGTTTTCTCAATAGAAGCTTACATCCATTTCAACTGTCTGAATCCGTTAACAGAAGCCCTAGGGCAGCCATTATCCCACCATTTGTTAATTTGGATTTTCATGAGGTGAATTCTGTTCCTCGGGTTACAGCTCTTACTTTCTCCAAACTTGTTATTGGCTCCATTGAATCTGAATCTTTAAATACTCTCGATCCACATGGCAAGGATGTGTTAGTTCTGTTCAGCAATAATTGGTGTGGTTTTTGCCTGAGAAGTGAAGTAGTTGTTTCTGAAGTTTATCGAGCTATCCAGGGTTATGCTAACACGCTGACGAGTGGACGTGGAAAGGAAGATAATATGTTAAGTGGTGAGTACTTCATTGCTTGTCCTCAAAATTATCAGGACTTCTGATGTGGTTCATTCTTATCTTCTTCGTCTTCTTCCTATTCTGTTTGAAAATGCCTCTGCATTTCCTTGTGGGAATCTTACAACTTGTCTTAACGTGATAATATTATTTTGCTCATTGCTCTTCGGTGGTTTCCATGACGTACTAGCTACAAAGTTTTTCTAATTTTCAATCTTAGTATATTAATGCAAGAAGTTTGTTGTATATCGATTGATTTTTGGTATTAGAGGTAATATGCTTTTAAAAAAGTGGTAATAAGTGTTTTACATTTATCCGTTTAAATGTTTGAATCAATTTTAGAATGGTCCAACAATAATAGTGTTTGTATTCACATTACATTTTGCAGAAGGTCGGACAGATCTACTGTCAAAGCTCCCGCTTATCTACTTAATGGACTGCACACTGAACGATTGCAGTTCAATTCTAAAGTCATTTGATCAGGTGTGCTTTTCAGGACTGTAGAAATTTGTCTTTAATTTTAATGTTTTTCTGCAGTCAGTGTTTTCATTGATTATTTTATCAAATTATTGGTGAACCATTACTCGGCATGGTATTCCCAACAATAATACGTACCATTTGCCAAGAAGGTTCTCACGACATCATAGGGATACCTTCCTTCCATTGATGTCCTTATAAACTAGTTTAAGTCAATATAGAAGTTTAACTTCTATATTGATTTGATATTTTGTATTTTGATTTAAGGTCATTGCTTAATTTTGTATTTTGGAAATTGGTCTCTGCCAGTGACTAATTTTGTATTTGCTTAGCGTTGTTCAATAGTTAACCTTTCGTAAACTTGGGCATGCAGAGAGAAGTATATCCTGCCCTTTTGTTATTTCCAGCAGCAAGTAAGAAAGCTATATTGTATGAAGGTGATCTAGCAGTAAGCGATATTTTTGAATTTGTGGCAGAACAAGGAAGTAATTCCCAACACCTTATCAGTCAGAAGGGTAATGACCAAACTAAGGCTTTTTATTATCCCTTGTTGCTATTCTTACCACCCGAGTTCTGCTTTCAGTTTGCATCATAATGGTGTTGATTTCTGCATCCATGGGTTTGTTTGTTTGCCGAGATTATCTGTGTATGATTTGCTTGTCCTGTTAGCCCACGATCTTTGTTAAAGCTTCCACACGTCTTAGACATAGAAGACTAATTTCCTCTTGGATGAACAAGAGCCGTAGGAATTTTGAATGCACCACGTCCGTGTCACATTGAATGTGGCCAGTTCTGTTGATTGAGAAATTTGTCTTGTTCAAGATTATCAATTGAAGTCGAGGGAATAATTTTTTACTCAAAAACTTAAACGGAAAATGACATTATTTCGACTTTTTGATGTTAGGGATGCCCTCAAGAGTAATTTTAAATATGCAGGATTGAGCTTTCAAGAAACCAGACATTTTCCACATGTTGTCTATAATCTAATTGCTGGTTGTTCTTTGTTAAATAGGAATTCTATGGACAGTAGCGGACAACGGAATTGAACGCGGCAAGTCAGTTGAAGATGTAAGACCCACTCATCTTCAAGAAAAGGATGCTATTCCAAGCGAAAAGTACCACGAAGTCCTAGTGAGAGACAGGAAAGTGGAAAGTGCTACAAGATTCGGTCACTTAAATCTTCATATCACAAATGATGAGGATGAATCATCACCTCATATAGGCATTGGATGGATGTTAACCGCCACAGACAAGCTTGTTGGTTCACAACTTTTTGATAATGCTCAGATTCTGATTGTCAAGGCAGATCAAACCGTTGGTTTCCACGGTCTGATAATCAACAAGTATATCAGATGGGATTCTCTTCAAGACATGGCAGAAGGTTTAGAGATGTTAAACGAGGCACCTTTATCGCTCGGGGGTCCGCTCATTAAACGCAAAATGCCTCTCGTGGCCTTAACTCAAAAAGTTCCTAAAGATCTGCAGCAGCTTGAAATCCTACCAGGCATACACTTCCTGGATCAGGTTGCTACATTACATGAAATAGAAGAGATGAAGTCAGGAAATCACTCGGTTAGTGGATATTGGTTCTTCTTGGGTTATTCAAGTTGGGGTTGGGATCAGTTGTATGATGAAATTGCTGAAGGGCTTTGGAGATTATCCAACGATGGCGCGAGTTACTTAAATTGGCCAGAGGTTCAACAACATTTGGGTGCATCATAAGAGCTTTTAGAGCTAACTAAACAGGTCAGTGCACACATCTGAGACCATTGGATAAGCCATGTTGATGGTGTCCAAATTTGGTGGCTGGATTTTTGTAAAATTGCTTTTGTTTGTAGGTATGGTATCTCTCCCTTCTTCACATTCATCAATCAAGTTAAGGCCTTGTTATTTTCCCCTTTACACACACACACATTATGAAAATCTTAATCAAGCTTTAAATTTTAAAATAGGTATATTAACTAATGAATGTTTATAGATGTAGGTTAACCTAACTTTTGTAATTTATGTTTTTCGAGTTAGTGAATACGTTGAGCGTACTTTGAAAAAACGTTCTGCTATAGTCTTTAATAACTATTTAGAAGTACTCAAATTGATAGTAAATATAGCTTGATATAGTTGATAAATTTAAATCTACATTTACTATACATTTTAATTATTTGAAGAAAAATGTTTCAATACATGGCGTGCAAGTTCCTTTCTTATTTAAAAAAAAACCTATCAAGTCCATATTCATCAATAATTTGATGAAAGTGAAAAAGGTGAAAAATAAGATAAGACAAAGAAACAAAGTAAAAGATAGGTTAGTTCTCCCCTTTTTTTTTTTTTTTTTTTTTTTTTTTTTATTACAGAGTTTAACGACTATTCCGTCATTGAGATGATGATGTTTTCAGAGGTGGTTGAGAATCCAAAAATGGATCATATTTTTCTTCTTCTACAATAGAAGGAGAAGATGTCGAGCCGACAGAAGTGGCCTCTTGAAGAAGCTTTTGAAAGTCAGCTTCCGAAGTTGTCTGGGCTAATGCAGCGAGTAACTTCGACTTTGAATTAAGAAATTCGAGGTCATCTTCTTGGATAAATCCTGAAGGTGGTCATTTTCTGATAACTAGACCTTTATCGCTGAGATCTGTGTGGGTATAAGTGTATTTATCCCACCATTTGATTTTGATAATTTTTACTTGGTCTTGGATTCCTATATTGGAACTGAAAAATATATCTTTAGTTGATCCAAAGATTTTCCACCCTTTGATGAACCAAAATGGATAATGAATTTTATGAGCATTCTGGCAGAATTGAATAAACATGAGTGCTCGTAATTTTGATACCAAATGACATTGAACCATGCCATCTGATAATCTCTGTAGGAGTAGGAATGAGGAACAAAAGGTTTTGAAAAAGTCTTATCCGTGGATGGATCTTGATTCCAATATGTCAGATTCATGACTGTGAAAATTTTCAATTTTGAATACACGATTTTCGAAGGGTCATCGCGACTTGGAATATGAGTAATTTCAACGGACTTTGTGTCGACTAGAATCAATTCATAAAACCTTATAGTTTTATGAGGATCTTCTGGGATATAAAAGAATCCCGATGGATAGGCTTTCTTGACGACCTCGCTGATTTTTATGTCGTCGTATTCTGGTTCTACCAGAGCTTCTGGTATAGACACAAATTTTTGAAAATAGGCCCTGATTTCATGAACTAGAGAAAATCGAACGGGAATAACTGCGTCCGAGTAGGTCGAAGGGACAAAAGGTCCCTTTGGAGTGGAAGAGACAGTAGGTCTCGATGGAGTAACGGCAGATGGTCGAGTTGAAGAGGCAGAAGGCCTCGTCGGAGTGATAACCTCCGCCTGTTTTTGAGAAAGCCTTGCTTTAGACCTGGTCATCAGTGTGAAACCAGCATCCATCGCATAGCTGCCGGATGTCATTGGAGTAGGGGTGTTTGAAGAAGCAGTGGGCTTCTTTCCTTTCTCTATCGCTTTCTTTCCGGTCATCTCTCGATGGAAGAGTGGCTAGGGAGAGTTTTTATTTGAGAGTAAGAACTCTCTTGAGAGGTAGTCAGCCAAAGGGTTTTCAACCCCTTTTATAGGCAAAATTTGGAGATCGGAACAAATAAAATGGCTTGCCATCTAGCAAAAATTTGTTTAGATACAAGATTCTTGCCTTTCCTACTCAAGAAGTGAATCCTCTGAAGCAATGTGGGTAATAGGCTTTGCCTTTCCTACTCCTACTCAAGGAGTGAATCCTCAGAAGGCACGTGGGTAATTAGCTTCTGTCCAACTCAAGGAGTTAACCCTCATAATTGAATTCACTACTGCGTCAACGCTGGTTTATAACTCGCTAGAGTAAGTTATTATAATCCTCTTCCTATGGAAGGGTAGTAGTTGAATATAAAGCAGCTAACTGGCCTTGTAATTCGATTAGTTTGATATCTTTTTCTAAAAGAAATTTAGATGCCCTAGAATCTGTTTTGATAACAAAGTTTTTGTTAACTAAATCACTTGAATTTTTTGTACACAATACTATTGAAAGTATTTCTTTCTTTACTGTTGAGTAATTTTTTTAGTAGAATTCCATATTCTCGAATGGATTCTTTCTTGTCAAGAGACTGTTTCAGGATTCCTCCATATCCGATATCGGATGCGTTAGTCTCCACTATTAAACCAGCTCTTTGGTTTATCAGAGATAAACACAGAATTGATTTGACAAGGGATTTGATTTTTTGGACTGTTTTGGTGTGGTCTTCAGTCCAGGGCTTGAATTTTTTTTCAGTGTCTCAAAGAGTGGTTTGCAAATAGGTTTGATATTTTGGAGAAGATCAGACACATAATTGAGACATCCCAAGAATCTTTGTAGTTGGGTTTTATCAGTGATTTGGTCCGAAAAATTTGAGGCAAACTCGATGGACCTTTGGATGGGTTTAATTAAGCCCAAATGAATTTCAAATCCAAGAAAGTTGATTTTTGTCTGAAAAAGTTTCATTTTCGGTTTAGATACCACTAAACCGTTTCTTTTGACTATGGCAAAAAATGTTTGAAAATGTTTAAAATGTTGATCGATGCTTTGAGAGAAAATCAGAACATTGTCAATATAGACATTTGAAAAATCTTGAAAAGGATTGAAGATATCATTTATAATTTTTTGAAATTCGAATGGAGTGTTTTTTTAGCCCAAATGGCATAACGTTCCACTCGTATTGTCCGAAAGGGACGTTGAAAGCCGTTTTAAACTTGTCTTTTTCCGAAATCTGGATTTGCCAAAATCCCGATTTCATATCAAATTTTCAAAATACTTTCGCATTTGAAATTCTTCGCATTAAATCTGATTTATTTGGAATTGGATATCTAATCCATTCCAGAACCTTACTTAAGGGTTTGTAGTTTATTACCAGTCGTGGAACTCCACGCTCCTTCTCTACCTGGTTGTTGACGTAAAAAGCTGCACATGACCAAGGGCTCTTTGATGGCCTAATAAGACCTTTCTGCAGAAGATCATTAATTTCTGCTTTGCAGAATGTTAGTAATTCTTTATTCATTTGAATAAGTCGGGCCTTCGTAGGAATATTTTTCTCCTCGAAAGTTTTGATATAAGGAAGATTAACTATGTGTTGCTTCCTATTCCAAAAGGCATTAGGGACAGTTGAACAAATTTCCCTTTCTATCTGAGCTTGTAATGTTTTGATTTTAGACTGGACGGTCTTGCTTTGAAGCTGTTCTTCTATTCTTTTGAATGAAATTTCTTTCTTCAGAAAAGAAATTTGTTTTTCTTTATAATTTAATACATTTATTGATTGAATAATTGTATTCTTTTGAAGATTATTTATTTAGTTAATCCTTATTTGGGAAAGGAAATTAAATTTTATCTTCTTTCTTAAGGCTTTTGACTCTAACCCTTTAAGTCCTTTACTAAGAGGAAGGAATTTACGAAGCAAATTCCGTCATTACAAACATGGACTTTTGATAGTTTGTAATTGATCTCGAGTTTGTTGTTGTTTGCAACTCTAAGGCTTTCGGTAGTTTTTTCAAAATACTTAGTAGGTATTAGGCCTTCTTGAATCATAAATTTTCAAGGTAAGGCTCCAACGAAGGAACTTTGAAAATCATCTTCGTCTAGGTTTGGTTGCGTCGTTTCCTTTTGTTAGGGCAACCTTTCCTGAAGGTTGAGAATTTCTTGGCGAAACATATAGGATTCTGACCTAGTTTCAGATCTTAATACCTGTACTTCTTGTTTGAGATTATTAATCTCTCATTGTAGGTCTTGAGTAGTGAGTTCTCTCGGTTTTTCAAACCTTTGGAAAACTGATTGAAGTCTATAGGGATTTCTTTCTTCCCTTTCCAGTGGTTTAGAGATTGTCATAGCATCTCTAAGTCGTTGAGCAATTTTCTGTTAAATTTCTGAATCTCGAATTTTCTCTACCACCTCGAGTAGAATTTCTTGATCCTTTGTAAGGACGTTTATGCATCCTTCGCACGTCCTTCTTCCTTCTTGTTCTAATTCGTATTCTGTGCTAGAATATGAATTGGATTCTTCTTGAAGTTCGAGGATTTCTCCCTCGCTTGATTGTTCTGAGTCGGTTAGAGTTAGTCGTAGTAGTTGATTTTTCAGCTCTTGATCTATATCCAACTCGTTGATCTTTCCTCTGATTGTTCCATTATACTTTGTCTTTAGACCGTCTTTGATCCTTCTTGAGAAGTGCTTTGGTAGTCCATTGACAAAATTCTTTCCAGAATTCCAACGAACTATCTGTTCTAATAAGAACTTTGCTGAAATACATATCTTTGTACCACCTGAAATCTCCTAAGGTAGGGCATTTCAGGTTCATGAGTATTTCGGCAGATCTCTCCTAGTATTTCAGGGGGTCGCCAACGAAGAATTCTATGAGGGGATAGATTAGAGTATTGACAGCATCTTCTATCCTTTCATGTTGTACTTCGGTCCTAGTTGACGGACCTTCTTCTTTGATGATTTGAGTTGTTGGCCTGATGACATAGTGGTTTAATATCTGTTGGCGGGTGGGTTCATCAAGATACTTGTCCCACCAGTCTTTGAGTTGCCCGGTAAATCCAGTTACTAAGACTTGAACTATTTGATGATCGGATTTATGACCCTGTAATTTATATGCGCCAGTGGCCATCATCATTTCATTGACAACAATTATCACAAGAGGCCGCTTCTGTCGGCTTGACATCTTCTCCTTCTATTGTAGAAGAAGAAGAAGACACGATCCATTTTTGAATTCTCAACCACCTCTGAAACAATCATCATCTCAATGAGTGAATAGTCGTTAAAATAAATAAATAAATAAAATAAAATCGTGGGAGAATTGACATATCTTTTACTTTGTTTCTTTTTCTTATCTTATTTTT